CCGTGAAACGCACAGCCACGAGGCCAAAAGACGCATGTGTATCGGTGGCAGCAGCAAACACGAAAAGAAGGGAATCGCCACCCAACTGGAAAACGTAGTATGAAGTAGGCAAAAGCAAAAAAGAAGAATGAAAAACAAAGACAAAAAAAAAAACAAATACCCTCAAAGCACAGGAGAGACGTTGTGCCACAGAAACGACAAGCAAATAAACACACACAGAGTCTGCGGCGTCTGTGCCAGTGTGTGTGTGTGTGTGTGGTTGCGTTTCACCATTACCCAGTAGCGCGAGCAAGGGCAGCCACGAGCAGCAGCAGCAGAAGCGATGTGGGCACAAACGGCGTGGTGATGGCCCCACTGCCGTCGGAAGAATTGGTCACAATGTTCCCAGTGACGTTGCTCTTGGCAGTTGTGTTGTGCACCAAAGCCTGTGTGGCGCCAATGGGTCGTGCAGCGTGGCTCTCACCCCGTGTGGCGCTGGCAGTGTGCTCTGGACTCTTGGTGGGTGGTTGGGGCTGGGCGATGGTCTCGGTACTAACAAATGGCTGCGCGGGGTCCGTCCAGTCACTGCTGCCATCTTCCGCCGTCTGGCGCTCAGCGCCTCCTCCTTCCTCACTGCGTTCCGCTGCGTCAGTTTGCCCCCGGGCACCGTTCTTGCTGTTCTGCGTCGACTCAAACCCCGACTCTTTCGGTACATTCGGTTCGGGTGTGACGCCGTTGGGCCTCCCACCCGCAGCAGCCGGGGATTCGCCGCCGGTGCCTTGTGCAGGACTTCCACCAACAACCCCCGCACTCGCCCCTTTAGGTGCAGGCTCCTGGGCCATGGTGGATGCGCCTTTGCGCCGCTCAGTGCCCCCTGCATCCTGTGAGGCGTGCTGGCCCTTCTGCAGTTGTTGCGTTGGTGCTGCACCAACACGATCAGGTGCCTTGACTGTGGGTTCGGCTGTTGTTTGGTCCGTGGCCTTTGATGTGCAAATGCCTGGGTTGCCAGAAAGGGAGGTGCCACGGCTGCTGGCGTTCACCGCTCTTTTGTAAAGATCACTTTTCCCATCCGTCGCAAATCGCATCGCAAATGCAACTGCATCACTCCCGGCAGCAGCCGTGGCACACGCAACGGCGCAGTTTGAATCGTTGTACATAGCAGCAGCGCTATCGCACAGCCATCCACAATCCTTTTTAAGTAGTTCCACATTCTCTTCCGTGACAGTCGCACAAGTTTGCCAAACCGTCTCTCCAGAAAGGCGCCAACGTAATTCCTCATCCGTTCGCCTACAAGACACCTCCACCTGCAACCATACTTTCCCTACGGCATCAGGGATAGTTGGAGCCACCTCCTCGCACACTGTCGAGCAGCAGCCGCACAGCAACGCCAAAACCGCCAGGGCGCACACCGCACGGCACCGCACCGTCGCCATCGCCATCCGTTGTGGTATTGGTGGTGGTGGCAGTAAAGTCGAGTCGCTGGTGGCAGTGGGCTGATCCATCAGGCAGCGGGGAAGAGGAGGAAAGGAACAAAAAGAGGAAAAATAACTAGAGGTAACAAAGAGTGCAGCGAAGAAAGCGAGAACACAGAGATCGCAAACGAAAAAGACGGCATCCCACCAAGTCCACGCGCATGAAAGATTCCGTACACCCTCACACACAAAAAGTCACGCAACGCCAACAGCCACCCCACACCGCCACATCGTGCGCGGGACACGACACCGCTCGCTGCGACACCCCCACACGCCGCGCCCTGCACCCGCAAGGTAAAAGATAATGTGACCCACAGCGCACGTGTTGCAGCTAGTTCTCTCTCTCTCCTCTCTTCATCCCCACGGGAGGAGGCAGCTGCCACAGGCGGCACTGCCAGCATCAACTACGATATCATCCTCCACGTGCACCGCAATATATATTACATATATTATATATGGTGTGTATGTCTGTGTGCCTGGACAATAAAAAAAAAAAAATAGGAAGAAAAGTAAAGCGTGTGAGGACGCACATACACACACAGAAGAGACGCAGGACGCAAGGAGAGAAAAAAGTAGATCACTAAAACTCAAAATGACACCGCAGCACGAGCAGTGGCAACACACAAGAAATATGGTTCAACAAAAAAAAAGCTCCTCAAGACGTTTGCATCAAAAAACAAAAAATGGAAAAAAAATCCTAAAGACGTTTGCACAAAACAAAAACAAAAGAAATTGTCGTGGAAGGCCCCCGGTGTCCAGACACCTTTTTACTCGCACAGGGACCCGCAGTGCGTTGCTGTGGCTCTCACTCCTTCCTTACTTCCTTTTCCTATCGGCGGACACACAATGCCGAAAGCGTCCACAGCCGCCTAACGGAAGCGGCTAGTTGTTTTTCTTCGTGTCTTTTCGAACGAATTCGATGGCCTGCACGTCAGCCAGCACCGTGGCACACATACGCCCCCGCCAAAAACGAAGACGTAAAAAAAAAAAAAAGAAGCCCGGTCCCTCCTGCAGCGACCGCAGTTCAGAGGCGCAGTGAAGCATATCCCGCTGCCGGGCAAACACGCAGGTTCAACGCCCTCGCCAAGAACAAACCGACAAAATAACAAAAAAAAACCAAGAAAAAAAAACATACATCCGTAAAGCATTAAACCAACAAAACACTGAACCAATACACTAAAAAGCAAATCGGTAAATGGTATCCTATCATTGATAAAGGCGAACAATATAACAAACAGAATGGACGAAATAAAAAAAAATGAAGACCCTGCTGTGCTGGCGCCGATGAGAGCGCAATTTGTGGGTACAATAGAAAAATTTTTTTTTATGCGTAAACGCAAAAAAAAAAAGTAGCGTAAAATAAAACAAAATGCGTGTCCACCTAAGACTTTATTTACTTCTGAAAGCGCGTGGACAGACGGAGCTGCTCTCAGTAGAAACATCAACTCCCCTCCATCGGGCTCCACTCAGCACAGGGCCGCAAAGCCCCACAGCCCCAATAGCAGCAGAATTAGCACCCAGAATACATCACCACGCGTAGAGCCGTCACCTGCAATTTTCCCAGACGCATTGGAGTCGTCAATCTTTTTGAGTTCCAGTGGGCGGTTGTACAAAAAGACGTTCTTTACTGTCACACTGCTGTTTTCACCGCCGCCAAAGTAAAAGTAAGAGATTTCGTAATTCCGTGCCTCAAGGGTTGGTAGTTTGTTGGTATTCCCCACGAGCACACCGTCCACGTACACGGAGCCCTTGTTTTCCTGCAGCATGATCGCCACTTTGTACTCCTTCCCCGGCTCCCAAGTGCTGCTGTGTGTTGTTGTCGTGATGCCGTTGAAGACTGTCCCCCACCGTTCCTCTGTGGTGTACGACAACCCCACAAACTTCGTGCTTTCATTGTCCTCCAGGCCCGCGCCCAGCAGAGGAGCGCTCTCTTTCGGAACCTCATGAATCGTCACCGTCGCCACAAGCGTAAACGCGTGATTCACAAAGCTGTGCACGTAGTGATGCGTCCACATGTTCACGGGCCACATGGCGTATGATTCCGACCCCGTGAACTCAAAGCCATTTTCGACCTTCTTTGCATTCGTCACAGTTGCATTCAAGCAACGGTACGCGTCGTTCCAAGTTCCATCACCCGATGCATCCGACAAGAACCCAACCAGACCGGCCGTGGGCACTGACAACTCGGAGAGGAAGGAGTCCATTTTTGCCCAAGTCTCCAAGACGGACGTGATCGTCTTCAGCTGTTCCGTTAGGGAAGCAAGAAACACGCCTTTGGTCGTTCTACTGACCCTCTCTTGTAAAAAGATGCAACGCATCGTTAGAGTGCAGCAGGGTGTTGGCTGGCATCGGCGTTGTGTCCATGGAAATGGGCCCGACATGAAACGTGCGATTGTTGTCAGCAACCCAAAGGTAGAGCGCGGTGGCTTGCAACGGGTCCTCAGGGAGAATCTCTTGCTGAGTGTACAGCATGACCTTCTTTCCAGCAATGATCGCAGTAGTGAGGGACCCCACTCTCTCAGCTGTTCGCGAAGTGTTTGGTAACAATATGGGCTGCACACGTGTGAGTATCCCGACAGCTTCCGTCCACGTTGCCCCCATGTCCCTTGACTCGAACACCTTGGAAAACAAATCACATCTGGCAACCATGACAAGCTGCCCCTGCTCCCACTCAACGATGAGGGGGTCTCTCCACTTTACATGGACCATCCCCTGTGGAAGCACCCAATTTTTGTCACCCTTCTTCGAATAAATGATCATTGAGACTGTGTCGCTTTCTCCTGTCCTCCTCGCCGTCACAGGAAACACAAACGTCCCATCCTCCATCACAACACCTGAGCCACCACCACCAACAAACTCATCCAGGCCAGGTTGTTTAGCAGATGGTTTGATCTGTGGCAAAAGCGAGGTGGGTTTGCCCCATTGGATGACTTTATATTCCGTGGCCTCACCCACGAGCAAATCAAGATCCTGTGAGGATTCAATCCACTTCTTCGATGAAGGATCATACTTCTGATGATAGCCCCCCACAAGTAGAAAGACCTTGTTGCCCTTTGCAATTGTTGTGGGTCGGTACGTGTGTCCCATAGGGGCGTTATCCTCCTTTGGAATGATTGCGTTAAAGATGTTGTACGCCCTCCATTTGTTTGTATTGACCTCATCGGCAAAAGACGACCAGTTCTCACCAGAGTCAATGTACCCCGCCACAACATCATCATAATAGGGCGAAACAAGTTCCTGATCGGGGTATGGAAGGCTGGCGTAGCTCTTGGCAAGCGCAACCAACACTCCACCAGCACTGGCGAGAGAAGGTGAGACAAAAGATTCCCTCGTTTGACTTCTACCTCGTGCTTCCACAATCGTTCGACACGGCCAAAAAAGATCAACAACCTTTGGCAGTTGCACTTCCTTTGGCGTACTTTTCTCCTTGGCGTGCACAGCCGTACTGGCAAAGCATATCAACAGCACAAAAAGGAGCTGCATCGCAGAAGAAAACAGGTGCCGGGACATGTTGAGCATGTGCCGCTGCTCACTCATTCTCTTCCTTCCCTCGTTGTGGTGGATCCGCTCAGGCCGCGACGGTTGTGTGTGGTGTGAGTGAATGCAGAGAAAAAGGTTAAAACTGTGTGAGCACAGTCAACATCACTGTTGCAATTACCCCCCAGCAACTTCCATCAAGCAAAAGTCAATAGACAACAATGTAAAGCACCCAACAACGTGGACTCGGAACTCAACTAAAAGCCAGTTTTTTTTTTTGTTTGTTGTTGTTTTCCATGCAATAACAGACAGATAAAAAATGCCACAATACGAATTGTAGTACAGTTACACAGTTATTTAATTTCCCATTAGCAACGCCACTGCAGCGTCGCAGGCCAAATGCGCAGACCGTTACTTTTATAGTCGTACAAAAACAAAACAAAAATCATGCTTTTAAAGACCCCACACAGACCCCACAGTGAGAGTTTGGCAACCCCTCCATGCACAGCGCAGCAGAGTCCGTTTCACCCAAACCGGTAAAGAGGTCCTCTGATATTTATATATGGCGTGTTCCTGTACGCGGCAACAACGTTATGGTTACTTGTGGTACAAAATACAAATGACCAAATCGTTTCATCATTTGCGTACACCCCTTCCTCATTTTGGTCTCTGCATGAGAAAAAAGCAACCAAGAGGAAAATGCATATCTTCCAGGAAGCAACTTCCGATTGACTCGATCAAGCAACGTTGCGTCTGCCTCAAGTGGCCGCATTCATCGTATGAGTGACCAAATCATATACAGAGACGTCAAAGGAGAGCGAGGTGTTTTACCCAAAACAGCTAGCAACTGTCCAGAACCCTGAGCCCCCCATCCTCAGTTTATTGCTAAGAACCAAGCGCAAACATGCCCTTGGGACCTCATCTCCACCTTCACCCCACTCTAGACAAACATAAAAAGAAAAAAAAGGAAACATAAACACATTTTCAAGTGATAAAAATAGATATCTCACCAAGGCAGTATGGGCACTGCTCCAAATGCAAACATCATGTTGTTATAGAGTTCTTACTTACCTTGGGCACTACACCATACAACGATGGATATTATGTAGTACCATTCTTTTTCGTTGTTATTTCTATCAAAATCCTTTATCATTGCCGCAAGTTTATTATTATTATGTTTTTATGTGGGTGTTGCGGTGCCCCGAGTGCAGGTTTGTTGTCGGGCTGCCGCCGCGTGTTTTCGGGGGAAAAAAAGTAAAAAAAAAACACACACGGTGCCGTCCACACACGAAAACAGTCGCAGTGAAGGGAAACACATACATAAGGGAGAAAAAAAACACTAATAAGTGCATCCTCCACCAACTTTTTCCACAACGCAAAAACAGCATGACAGTCACTCGTCGTTCGCATTGCGAATACAAAAGTGGTAGCGCATGCAGGCTTATTTTCACTTGTCCTCCTCGTTTTGCATTTGTCCCACACAAATGAAGGGGGAAAAAAATTAAAATAAAAAAAGGGCACATAATTATTATCACGTTTTAAGCATCCAATATTGTGGAGACAATTGCAGCATTCATTATTCTTAATTTCCGTTTTCGTTTTCAGCTTGAGGGGATCCTGCGACAGAGACGCGTTTCATCCTATGGCTTCTCAAGGTCGTCGTTCAGCGCATCGTTCTTGGCGGGCTCGTTGTTTCCGCTCATCATCTCATTCTCTGTGGCGTCCATCACCGTGGCACCGGGAAGATGGAGCTCGTCGGGACGGCGGTAGGCAACGTACAACGCAATAGCAACGCCCACAACAGTGACTCCCAGGCACAACCAGACGAGAGGAAACTCCTTTTCATCCTTCTTTTTATTCTCAGCAGACACGAAGTTTGACACAGCCAGGAGTGCAGCAGCAATCAGAGCGTATGTATAGGCCATTTTGTTGTTGATGTTGGCTTTTTTTTTCTTGTATAGAAGAAAAATTGTGTCGAAAGAACAAGCTTGCTGAAGGTTGTAAAAAAATCTATTGGTGTGTGTGATGAAAAACCAGGGTCAGAAAAAGAGAAGGTCACAGGCCCGCTAAGGGAATACACAAGGAACAGCACATGAAAAAAAAAAAGCAACAGCAGGGATGTGGGCTATGGAAAAACACTGGAGCAGGACCACCATATCACGCCTCCTGTGGCGGGTTGGTGGAACCAGTACGCATTCATCCATTGTCAGAGCGGGACATTGCGATCGCGTTGTCGGATCCAAGTCGTCCCGTTGCGTGCGTCTCCAAACGCAGGAATGGGCAAGCCCATTGCCGAGGGTCGTGTCCCTGCCATTCCGTGGTATTCGGGGTCTTTGTGTGGGGTTTGAAGGTTCGGCCTCTCCAGTGATGGTGTCGGTGCTGACATTGTAGGTGTGGAATTGCAGCATGCGAGATATTTCCCCCTGTTGAAAAATCGCACGAAGCCTATGAAGTCTGCACAGCGGCACAAGGTCTTCTCCTAAGCCATCGAGCGTCAGCGTTGCTGTTGTTTGGCAGCGTATACTGACACCCCGTGCCAGCGCTGATGCAGGCCGCAAACATTAGCGTTCGTCACACCATCTGGCTTGGGTTGGGGAGCATCTCGTGCCCGACAGGCGTCGCTCCACCCCCCCCCCCTCTCCCTCACAGCACGGACATGTCCCCCACCTTCCCAAAAAGAACACCTAGCTAACCGATAAAACCGGTTTCCACACCTTTGCCCCACACTACCCAGACCGAAGAAACAAGACAAAAGGTAACAGAGAGACGTTAATCCAGTCATTCAAGCCACGCAGCATCCGACGCAAAGCACGCCAAGTTATACATCTTAATCCAAAATCTACATCCACCCACACCAGCCCCGGGTAAAATGACTTTACTGTGCCTTTCGTAACTTAACGGCTGTAGACGAAACGTTTTATGGTATATCGATGCATATTTAACTCACTCACTACAAGGAGTGTATGACGACCCCCCGAAATCAATGAACATAAAAAAGCCGTGAGAAAAAGTGGAATTACCGACATCCCCCTCCATCTCGCGCAGAGACTGGAGATCTGGGTGGTGTGGCCCCCCTCAGCATTCACGCTTTGCAACGAAACGCACTGAAAAATATATAATAATGCGTTTACACCCGACATCTGTTAATTGCATACTCCATTCCTCTCGCAAGCAGCCACACAGACAACAACAAAACATCACGCAGAGCATAAAGAAAAACATAAAAAAGCGAAAACAAAAACAAAGGGGGTGAAATACAGATTAAGGAAAAAAGGAAACAAACAAACAAAACGAAGTTGCCGCCTCCCGCACTGAGAGAGAGAGAGAGAGAGATGGAATCGAACAGACTACTCGTAACAATCCATCACCAATAACTCACAGAACACATAAGAAACGTTCCAGAAAAGACCGTTCCACTAATGTCATGAATCGGAATCCGTCTAATTCCTTTTTTTAGCACACGCAATGGCAAAACGGACTCTCCCAGAAAGTCATCGCGGGTGTGTTTATCTTTATCGTAAATTTGCACGACAAGTGTAGAGAGATCCCAGTCCTGAATTTCCCACGAAAATTCATTCTGCAGGCCTTTTCCCCTCCATACTGGATGGAATCCGTTGTTGTGAACTGTCCCTGAAATCTTTGGGTTGTCGTTACCGTCTGGACCCTCAATAAAACACTTGATAAACGGGTCCACAATCTCACCCTTATTGGCGCGGTTTGGTTTGGGAAGGCAAAAGGCAGAAATAATTTCCAACGTCAATGTCCGCACCTGGGACCCGCGGCGTGACCCAGTATCCAACAGCAGGCTTTTGGGTTTCAATAGGTACCCACAATTTCCGTTGTCAGAAAAAAATCCCTTGTTAAGCCTCCACTCATAAGTTTTCGTTGATTGCCAATTGAGTGCCACTATTTGGCACCCACAATTCCAAAGAGTTTGAAGATCGTAGTTACTGCTGCCAAACCGCAATCCCGCAGGGTAGATGCGGGTAAGAAAATGCCGATTAATAGCTTTGAGTTTCGCTGTCTTGGTTAAGGCAAGTTTTTTCGCCTTGGTTTCATCCAAAGAAGTACACTGGTACGGTTGTCGTTTTTCTAGATATGACATGTCACCACTAAATTTAGATCCAACAGACTCAATGGAAACGATGCGCGATAGTTTTTCTGAATACCTATTTTCCTTCTTTTTATGTTGTTCCTTTTCCTTTCCCTCCTCAAACTGACTGCATACTTGATTGGACTCCAGAGTATTCTCCTCGTCCATGTACTCTTCCGTGTCTTCGCTGCCCGTTTTCCACACGTCACAGGCAGGCAACGATGACGCAACTCGTTTGCCCTTTACGAGAATTTTCCTCTTGAGGTTCTCTGGGGAAAACAAAAAGGTCGTAGGCTCCTGCGCACCCCACGGGCTTTGAAACAGCATCTCCCCAAACGTATCACACATGATCTCCGCCATTCGATCTTGTTGAGCAAGACTTGTGTGAACCTCGAGCGACAGAATAACTGGGTACTCCGAAACCTGAAAGGCGTACTCCTTAATCACGTGTATGCAGGAGCAAAAGGATATCTTGGATGTCTGTGTGTGGCCGTGATAGACGACAGGCTCACCTGCAAAACCATCCCAGCAATCCAATTCCACGCAGCGACATCCATCAAGCAGAGCCTTTTTATACATGTCTGTTGATGACTTACTTGTCAGTTGATCACCAGTTAGGTATGTATTGTGAGAGGAATTGATAAAATAATTGCAAATTGGTTGATTCATATCTTGGTATACCTTACAGGTCTTTTCGCCATCCACAATGCTGCTGAAACGGCTATCCCCCAAAAAGGTAAGAAACGTGTTTAAATGAATATCGCCTGTGTGCACGGTAAATAGGGAGCTCAGAATCTTCTTCACATGTGCCCCATCCAACTCTTCCCCTTGAACATCTCGCAAAAACAGCTTGAACTCATCTCTCGTTATGGTGTCTCTTCCTGGGCCAGCAATACATCGAAACACGTATTCAAGTTCGTCAAGCCTCGTCAAGGAAAGATATGCACTTTCCAAAAAGGCATAGTTGACATTTCCACCTGCAGCTTTTACCTTAGCGGTGAGTTCTTTGGAGATATCTTCCGAAAAATTTAAACCTTTTTCAAGCTTCCCAAGCTCACGGAGGCTAATGTCCCCACTGTTGTCAGCGTCATACTTCAACCATATCGTCATAAAGTTTACACGGTTCAAGTCCCACGCAACATGAGTATCCCCAGCTGAGGAAATGTACAAGTCCAGGGCCGCTGCCGATCTGGGATTTGCCGCACACGCCTTATGAAGAAAATACGTTGCCTCGTCAGTGGTACAAAGAAAAAGATCAAGCACAGCTTCCCAGAGGCAAGCAAAAAAAAGACGCTGCCTCAGCGCTCGATGCGTCCTCGTTCTCACCAAAAAAATTATCTATCAGTTTTTGGACGGTCGGAATATATCGCGCCATCTTGTGCTTGACGGTGGTAGTCTTGCTCACACAGAAGCCCATTGCAGACTGTAATAAAAAAAAAAAAAAAACAACAACACACACTTCCAATTTTTCACTCACTATACACCCTAACTTGTTTATTATTATTTTCCTTCTTTGTTTTAAGCTGTTTTGAGCGGCGAGGAGCAGGAAAAGGTCGTCAAGAATGCTGAGTAACAAGAAAAAAAAAACGGAAAAAAAACTACACAATCAACCAAAAACATACACCTTCACCCATCACATGTAAAAAAAAAAAAAAAATTAATGCAGATGCCGAGATATATTACAGTATACACCTCCGCCCTCGTTTAAATGTATCTACCGTTAGTTGTTTCGTCCCTTTTCACCCTCTCTTTTCTTTGGTTGTTGCGCATGTCTCTTTGCGAACAGTAATTTGTTCCGCCACATGTGCACTTCATCCTCCACCTGTTGAATAGCTTGATTTAGCTGATCAAGCGTTTCCTTCTCTTTAAGCAACCGCTTGGTCGTTCTGGCTTTCTCCTTCCAGTGGTGAAACTCATCCTCCGCTTCTATGTATTTTGCGCGTCCCTCCGCCACCAGCTGTCGTAGGCGTTGCTCCTCCTCCCTGCGCAAAGTCTCTGAGAAATGAGACTGCACCTTAGTCCGCAGGTATGTGTCTTTGGCCGTCTCGGCCTGATCTAACCAAAAGCCCAGCCATGCAGAAATCTTGGCATCTCGAAGGCTAATTCGAGAGGAAAGAAGCTTATTCCCCTCCCGACACGTACACTCTAATTCCTGAACACTTTTGCTAAGCAAAGACAACTTCGCCTCAGTCATTTGCACATCTCTGTGATGCCTCCTTAATTTACTACGAAGAGCTTCAAGATACAGTGCAACTTTAGAGGGGAAACCAGCCGCCTCCCCAAGAAACTCTCCAACAAGGCGAAGTAGCCTCACAGGTGCTTGGCACCTCGACCGCAATACCGTGTCCCTTAGAATACCCAACTCGCTTCGTACCTGTTTTTCGTGCGCTTCCAGTGTATCCATTCGCTGTCTCAACGTACCCAGTTCCAACCTCGAGGTCGCCACCTCCTTGTCCCACCTACTCTCATCCCTAAAAGATTCCCTAGTGTCTCCCTCCAACGCTTCTAGGCCTTCCAGTAGGCCTCGTCGAGCTGTTTCCCGCTGCAGAAGAAGATCTCCAACGCCGCGTTCCAGTTCAGTCAGTGTTGTCATAACGCAAGGTGTTTCCCATTGTTGAAGCACCTCATTGTGATTTAAAGGGGTAGGTGCGTGTGAAGAAAGATCAACGGAAAATCTCTGTGCCGCCAACATGATAGAATGCTCGTGGAGCAACACTTCTATCGGAGGGCAAACAAAAAATTCCTTTAAAAAGGTCGATGGAACAATTCCCTTGGCGCCGTTCACATTTCGCGCCGTCCACCAGCCACTGGGGTGCTCCTCCAGGGTAAGGACAAGGTCGTCCTTGAAAAGGGGTAAGTAATGCCGGTCCGTATTGACGTAATCATGACTCGCCTGAAACACACGCATCTTTCGTTTTACTCTTCATTTCGGGCGGAAAGAGCCGTGAAAAAGCAAGGAACAGGAAAATGCATGAAACAAGCAAGCACCTCCTCCCTTCGCAGCAGGAGCAATACAACACTCGAGGAGAGGAGATGAGCTGTATAAGCTTCACTCCACAAAATGAAACTGCTACCGTAACATAGTTTGGTTTAAGGCGTAGCAAAAACAGACTGAACCACGTACTCCATGCCAGGCTCCACATACACCTCACCGTAAGCCCCAGGCAGAAGAATCTCAGGCTGTCCAACGGGTTTCAACACCATTTTATGGCCAAGCACGTGATGGGGATACGTCACACCCCCAATTGTTTCCAGATCCACACCCAAGTTGGTGAGCACGACCCTAAATGGAGAAGCAGTGGCTCCCTCGTGTGGAAATGACATTTTCTTTTCCTTTCTTTTATGGACTATTGTTACTGCAAATTTTTCTTCCTGCCCCCACTCTTTCTCTCCCCGCTCCTTTTTTGCAGAGTAAAAAGCCACAAGAGTGATGACAAAGTGCACACACACACGCAAAAAAGAATTAAAATAAAAATAAAGAAAAAGATGCACAAGAAATACAAAAACAGCCTTGAAGAAACCGTGAACGGCATGTTAACAGACATATATATATATATATATATATATATATATATATATAT